AATTAAATTTATCAAACAGATAATTTATCACATTTTCCATAGGTGAGTGATTTATCAATCTAACTACACCATTTAATCACAATTTCCTCCAATTTCATGATTTTCAATCCAATCTCATATTTCCATAATAATTTCGTCATTTACACAAATAATGTATGTAATTCAAATTAGGGCATTTCCCTTTTCTCAAATATTGCCCCAAAGGCCATATCTCACCCATTATACGCAACTAATCCATTGTCAAGATCTCACATACGCATATGAAGCCGAAATAAGAAAACCCCTCTTTTATAATTTTCAAATCAAACCCTAACCTTGCCCAAACTCCCATATACCACAATCTATACAAAATGACCAAAATCTATGTTAAAACTCATAATAAGGAGTAGTTTATCCCTACCTCAAATGAAGAGACTCAAAGGAGATGAAGAGAAAACCCAAGATGCTCCAAGTCCAAGCTTTTTCGGATCAAAGGGTAGCCTACGCCAAGCTCTACCTTTTTTACAAAGGAAGTATGGTAGGAGAACTCTAGATCAAGAATATTTGTAGAGAGAAGGAGTATGTAGAAAGAGAGAGTCGGATCTAGGGTTTGGAGTGAAAAAAGAGATGAAAAGTGATTAAAATCACGCTGCTGCAATCTGATATATGTGAGGCTCGCTCGAGCGACCAGACACAACAAATACCTCGCTCGAGCGCAAGAAGCGTCGCTCGAGCGAATAATGCGAAGCTTCAGGTCTGCCACTCACGCAGACGCACGCTCGAGTGCAAGAGTTCTTGCTCTAGCGAAGGAACACAAAACACAGGGTCGCTCGAGCACAAGAAAGCTCGCTCGAACGAAGAATACCAACCTTCAGGTCTTCACAGAGACGTAGACTCATGCTCGAGCGCAAGAATGATCGCTCAAACGAAGAGACACACCACACAAAGCTCGCTCGAGCGCAAGAACCTTCGCTCGAGCGAAGAAGCAATTACCCAAGGCTCGCTCGAAGAGACCAAACCTGGACAGCAACCATTTGAACTAACTCACAACCAACCTGTTCCAAACTTACCCAACACATTCCAAAACTCAAATACAAGGAATTAAAGGATGGAAACAAGGTAGACAACAACATACAACTACGGAACCCGAGTCCAGAATACAATAAATGACGAGGAAAAACTAGGATCGCTATACCATTAAAAAAAAAATACAAAATTTTCATAAAATTTTACCTGGGGTTTGGTTGATCGTTGAGTCAAGAACCGGGAGTCGTAAAATATGGCTGTCTCCAGAGGAAGATATTAGAGAGTCGAGAAAAACAACAAAGCTTCGTTTTGAAACTTCAAAACTTCGAAGTTACAGGGTTTTCTTCATCAATAGCCTTGAATTGAAGAGGGTTTTCATAGTTGATCTTTAATATATAGAGTATTTAGGGTTTGAAATTAAAGATTGAGTTCAGATCTATGGGTGAGACCATTAAAGAATCTATGGATGCATTAGGGTTTCAAATAGAGAGAGAGAGAGAGAGAGAGAGAGAGAGAGGAACTTGGGAGATTTCTGAAGAAAGTGAGAGGGATATATATATATATATATATATAGAGAGAGAGAGAGAGAGAGAGGGGGAGAGAGGGAGGGAGAAAGGGGTAGGTGGGTGCTCATCATCATCTATCTGCCGTTCGAGTTTTTTGAGATACAAATATGGTTTGAAATCTGTGACTGAGAGAGAAAGAGAGAGAGAGATAGAGACGAAAGGGGGGTTGGTGAGATCATCATGTTCTGTCTTTTGAGTTTTTTGAGATAGAGAGAGAAGTCTGTAAATGTGAAGAAGAGAAAGAGATAAGGGTGTTGGAAGTTGTGTGTAATCTGTCAAACCAATTAGATAAACACATGTGGCAATGGAATCAGAATTCTGCATCATTAGTAATATATTCGGTCGGTTTAGGTTTAGTTACTTTTAATTATGTGGAACCGAAAATTGATCGAAACCCGAATTTAAATTTGAAAATAGGCCCGTCCTCGATCGAATTGAAGCTCGAAACCGTCTGTAATGTCTTCAGGTCAGTTGGTTTGGGTCGGATTTGTCGGATGGTTCGGTTGCTTGAACACCCCCTAATTCATTTTGTATTTTTATTTTGTATTGTTAATTTTGATGATTACAAATAAGTAATTGGACCAAAGCAACTGAATAAAGGTCAACTATTATCAAAAGGGAATGAAGTGTCCCAAGCTGAGATGATTCTAGAGAATGTTGCAAATCTTGGTGGATCAAAAGCCTGAGTTGGGAATATTTCTCCAACAAAAAGTGAATTTACAAGAATGAAGAGATTGGACAAAGCAAATATCAAAGAACCAAGGATACTCTCCACTAGACAATAAGTCTCCCTTGATAATAAAGAATAAACCTAAACCCACCCATGATGATTCAGAACAGAAAATAATGGCCTCTTTTTTCTTTTCTTTTTTTGGGAAATCTGTGTGCCATGCCATGTAATAAAAGGAAGAGTTTTTCTACCTCACTTATTTTATCATTCCTAACTAAATAATTTTAAACGACGAGAATAGAGTTTGAAAAAAATTAATTAGTTAATATTATTTATCATGTCATTAAAGATACAATTAAGAGAGGGATAGGGCAATTCTAACATTGTTAACAAAAGAAAGAAACAAATCCATAAGAATTGAGATCTGCAATACCAATAATAATAATAATAGGAGAAAATTTATATTAGTCCAAAACTAGGAAAATAGTTACAAAATAATGATAAACTTTATCAATATTTATTGGTTATTTTTGACATTTCGAAGGTTAGAAATATAATTCAAACGTGTCAGTAAAAGTCTGAAATTTTTTTACAGATAATAAATACCATTTTTTATTAAGTGATTGTATTAAAGTTCTTTGAGCGTCAATGAAAAAGACTTTATTGTGTTGTGTTTAAAAAATGAACGAAAGTTTTAACTCAAATTCGTAACAAAATTGGAGGGAGAGACTGGGCAGAAATTGCAATTGATTAACTGAATAAACAATTACAAAATGTTACATTTAGTAAGGACAATTTCGAAACTTTTAGACCGATCGGGTTTTGGAATTACAAGGCTAATCTACTCCTACGAAATGAAAGTGCAATGCATAAAAGTGAGGTATAAAAATTTAAAGATAAATGAAATTGACAAAGACGTAGAGTCTAAATTTGATCAAGGGCCTCTTCAGTCTTTGCTTCCATCTATTTATAGCTTTCTCTTGGCCTTTGAAGCAGTTAGACTGCTATCTTCCACCATGATCTCTTTTCTTCTCACTACTTAAGGATATAATCTTCCCTTCGTGCATGTGCAACTGCTAACAACTGCTCCTTGTTAACTCCTTCACGTGCCTCTCACATGTTGCTCATTTTCTTTTACTGGTTGAACTTAACATTTGGAACTCAGGTGAGCACTTGCAAGGTGAGACTTTTCCCTATCTCATCAAATACTATAGAATACACTCAAAATATCACGTGTCACTTTTGAATTCAATGATTCAAATGTGGTGCCAACATAATAATTAAAATTATAAACTTTTTTATACAAAATTTGAAAATTAATTACAAAAATAATGATAAACTTTATCAATATTAAAATTATAAACTTTTCCATACATATGTAACAACTTTTTCAAATTAGCTCTGATTGATAAATTCCTCAATAATAATAATAATAATAATAATAAACTAACTCAAACCAACCACATAAGATGTGAAAAGCACACCCACACCCGGATTCGGGCCGCCAGCCAAAAATCAAATTAATTGGATATCATTAACCCTTTCATCCACTCACATTTACATCTTGAAAAATAAAATGACGTGATTTAAAATATTAAAATAAATACAAATGTGAGTGGATGAAAAAATTAACGATATCCGATTAATTTAATTTTTTACAAATATATTCTACTCGATGTACTCTAAAATATGAATGGTTTAAATTATCAGAACGAACTCCAAAATAAGTCCATAGGACTGCACAGCAAGTACCCCAAATCACCCACACCCACATTCATTAAAGACCAAAAAACAACATAAGTTGTTCCCCCTATCCTAGCAGCTAGCATCCCCTCCCCTAACCAACCGACGTGAATGAACGAAGCCCTCTCTCTCTCTCTCTCTCTCTCTCTCTCTCTCTCTCTCTCTCATATTTATTTAATTAATTAAATTAAGTGACCCTTTCAACAGAGAGGAACACAACAGAACAGGAAGGGACCCAAATAAGAATAATAATAGGAAATGTATAGTACCACCACCCCACCAGAGTATGAAACTTTTGACATCATGTTTTGGCCGTATCTTCTTGGTAGGTTGCATCCGGAAAGATCGAATAGAGAATTCCACTAAAAACATTCCCTTCAATCCATATATCTATCTATATATATAGTTATATAGTTGGGAAATATAAGCAGGCAGGGCCCTTGAAGAAGGGTTTGTGTTTGACTTACCTATGCAAACAAAAGTAAATTCAAGTGGCTGATCAAAAAAAAATGTAAATTGAAGTGTGCGGACGAATGTCTTCCAAGTCAAATTGAACTGAAGAGAGGAGACCATCGCCATGGCTTAAAGAACACAAGCCTTGGCCTTAGTAGATTATATGAGAAGCAGAATGGAGAATAAACAAGGAAACATTTTGACATCATCAGCCATGAGAACACAGTGAATAACTACTACATATTTCGTTCAAAGTCACAATATGCACTTCAAATCCACACACAGTAATTTTCCCAAGATTGCAATTTATTAAACTGAAGTAAAACAAAATCCACCATTAATTCGAGACCTTGGATCCAATAAAAATGGAAAACATATTGCTTCCAATCCAAAAGTAGCTAATCCTGTCCTGGTATGATCATAACCCATACGACAGCTAACAAAGTATGATCCATAGTAGCTAGGGATCAATGAAACATATTTTCCTTCTAATTATTCACAATATGCTAAAGACATATCTTAAAGCTTGATACTCCCAAGCCATTCTCTCAGGAAATCCTAAATAAAAAAATACTTGGAATTTGCTTATATTTCATCACAAGCTTGGTGAAACAGCAACTCAGAAATATATATTCAGAACAGAAAGGTAATTTCCCTCCCCTAGCTCTTCTTCGTTAATATTTATTTTTTCTTGTGTCCAAACCAACTCAACAGAAAGGGAAATACACTAACCACAGACACAATAAACAAAGAGACATCAATTTAATCTTTAAACATTTCCAGGAAGTTATATAATCGTCGAAACTATAAACTTACCAGAGAAAATAATAAATAAATAAAATCTAGTCAGCTTTTAGGAAAAGTAAGAATGTTCCCTACCTAAAAAAAGCCAACTTGCCATTGAGTCAGCTTATCCTGCAATTTGTCTGTAAACTTAATGCACTCACTTAGCTATCAGCTAATAAGAAAACCACCATTTAATGCTCTTTCCACATGCCGAGAACTGTTAAATCATTTGTCACTTCAAGCTTTTTGCCTTGCTTACGTGATCTTTTCCGTTTCCTGCTCCTGGTTCTTGTGGTTTCACTGCCATCATTGCTGTCCTGCATCTAGACTACCATATATTAATGTCATGATGATCAGCAATAGAAAAGTTGAAGAACAATTCTGTTATTTCGAAAAAGTAAACTACAGCCAATTTGCTGGTTATCATCTACCAGAGGATACTTTATATATCGACATTTCCAAGTCTGCTTTTGCAAACAATATTGTACATTAATCTAAACATATCACAGCTTGAACTCATTTTGTATCCATTTTAAAGTTGCTGGCTTCTAGACCCTATATAATCCATGATTGAATCCATTTCCCTAATTCTGAAGCTATTTTTTACAAGTAATTCCGAAACATTAACAAGCAGAAGCACGGTTTTTGATGGGCAAACAGGCAAGGTTCAGAATAAAGAGCCTCCTCCAAAATCATGCCACAAGCATTATGCACCCCAGTCAAGGATCTTCATTGCTCCAAAGTTCAAAACAAATCTGTGCATCACTACGATATCAACCTCACTACGAAACACTATCAACCATAGTATGACCAGGATCACCAAACATCAAATTATTGCCCTCAAATGATATAAAGCAGACAAGAAAAAGGGAAGACTGAAGAGTATAAGCATTCAGAAATACTCACCTTTTCTGAAACAAGATATTCTTTGGCATGCCCACAATTCTTTTTCTTCTTACATGAGAGTGGGTTTGGACCCTGCAAAGTCCAAGAAAAGTAGATCCATGAATGATGGGAATGCCACCTTAGAAAATTGAACAAAGTAGATCCAAAAATGATAGGGTGGTGTAATATAGAACTACGCTTTGCAATGATCAAAGACAAAATATATGAGACAACAGCGAACCAAATATTGCTTCCACCACTAGTCTATCCATTAAGGAACCAACAGCCACTTGATAATTAAACCAACAGCCACTTGATAATATAGAACTATTTTAAAGTACTTACTTTAAGCGAAATTACATCAACACCCCCTCAACTACTAGCGAATAACACCTTACCTACCTTCCCTCATCAATGAACTTGTGCATTTTGGCCCCATTTAACTATAAAAAACTGTACAAATGGCCCTTCTAGAACAGGGCATGAGGTTGAAAGTGATGCATTTTTATAGTTAAGGGGGGATCAAAATGTACATGTCATAGATGAGGGGGTAAGACGAGATTCGCAAATTGAGAAGGTTTTAATGTAATTAACCTTTATTTGTATTATGAGTAAGAACACAAGATTACAAGTGTACACATCCATAAATTTTTCTAAGCATAATACAATTATGCCAAAGCTCTTATAAGTTTCTACACCAAGCTTTGTCCAATAAAATAAGGGATAGAAACAAAATCTAAAATATCAAATAGAAGTAGAATCCTAAATCTCTTAAAATTCCTAACAAATCTAAACTCCTGGTTATCTTGGTTTAAAAACTATAATTAAGCACAATTTTATCATAAAACCGAGGGTGATCTAATAACACGCTAGTAAAATCCACCAAATACTCTGGATTGGATTACCCAATCCTTACCCCTCCAATCTGATGTTTGCACTTTTCAACTCTGGACAACCTAATCCTGCTACCAAAATAATCCCAAAAGAGGAAAATAGCAATCCCAAGGGGGGGTTAGGTTTGGGAATCCGGGGACTAGAGGGGGAAGGGATAAGGTTGTCCAAATTAGTGTTATACCCTATGTTACGTGGAAAGGGATAGGAAACATGGTACAATAAGGGTAGATTTGTTTAGATTACATTATTAGAATTTAAGATACTTCTAGAGTAATTTTCTTTAACAATTAGGCACAACATTAAATAATGTTTTTTTCCCCTTTCAAATTAGTCATGTTACAACTCATTTGTATGAGCAATATGACCCATTTTTTTTTACATTTTATGATACCAAAACCCCTCTCTTCTTATATTTTAGTTTATTATATTTCATTTGTTTTTTCTGCTAATGTAAACTTTAACGTTCAAGTTGGAAAATATTTTGGGATTGCTTTATGGTTAAAAAGATAAACCCTATACTAGTAACACAATAACTCCAATGATCCATTGTTGAATCAATTGGAATTTGTAATAATTCTTAGTAGAAAAAAAAAAGTATTTCCAAAAACATTCTTAGAAGAGAGGAAGAGTAGAAACAAAGGGTACGCTCTCTAGAAGATTTGCCCCAGGCTGTTCACTTATCAATGATTGAAGAAATATGTGTTCGAGTAACACTAATTCTACCCTTCAGGTGACATAAAACGCATCTGATATTTGTTCCGCTTCTATGTGGATCTCTCTTTAAGATGTCATAGCAGCTGCACACTGTTGGCCAATTGATGCTTCCCCAAAAAGTGTACCAGACATCATCCGATCTGTCTCTCTCTCTAGATATGTGTGTAGCATATTAGACGATTTCAATATCACATTTTCATCTTAAATTATGGAAAAAAAATTCTATGTTGTGCTTTTTATTAGATTTTGGGGTCTTGATATCAAGGGGTATTTTGAATATACGAAATACACTTTTCTTGTCTTAGTAAAATCAGTGGCTACTTTTACTTTTTGGTGATTGATTTTTGTTTACACCATGTAACTATCGGCAGGGACTAGACCTATCAAGGCTTTGTCGAGTTTGCAAGCCAAAGCACTCGTGTGTTTGCAAGATTTGTGATGGTTGGCTCTCTAGATGTTGCTGTGAGAATATTAGGTTAGGTTTATATATATGGTAGCATATATTGTGTATATATATATGGCAGTGTTAGGGTTAGAATTACTATATAATCAGATATATTCTTTGTATTATAACACAATTGAATATACAGAAAACATTCAGAAATCTTACATGGTATTAGAGCTTGATTTGAAACCCTAGCAGCCAACACGAATCTCTCTCTTGTTTTGCTCTCTAATTCCTTTCATCATTTGGTTCATCATATTCAAAGTTGACCCATCTGAGTTTGGGTGTGCTTCGTTTGGTTCTTTCATATGATTCGAAGTCAACTCATCTGGTTCATCTTCCTTTCGTCTGGTTCGTCTTTGTTGGTTCTTTAGGACCGTAAAGCCTCTCTTTGTGATTACGCAAGTCATCGCAGGTCACTGGTTGTTGCATCATCTCTCTCACTATCGTCGCTGTTCGAAGCCCTAGAAAGCTTCGTCGCTAGTCTCTGTCTTTGTTTCTGCTTCAATCTCTCTCTTGCTCTCTCTATGTTTCTACTTGGGATATTTGTGGGTTGGTGCTTCTAGTTCTGTCCATCTGACTTGGGAATATTTGTGGGTCTTTGGGTCAAGATTCTGGTTATTATAAAGAGACCCCACCTGGTTATTATATCTTTCATTCACAACCTTGTTAATTTATGGGTTCGTTGGATAACTTTTTTGCTTATTACAGTTTGATCCCTCTAGTTTTGATTTTAGGTTATTACACTTGAACCCCTGAGCTTTCTGGTTATTACAATGTCTCTAGTTATTACAATGTCTCTAGCTTTTGATGAATGTGCCTTCTGCCATCAAAAGGGTCATTGGAAGTACCATTGTCCTAAAAAGGGATGTTTGTTTGCCTCGTCTTCTCAGTAGTTTCCGATCCAATTCTGCGCCCCTTCTTTGAGTACTGTTCACCCTCCCGCTGGTTCTACTGCATCTACTTCGACTCTTGATCCTGACTTGGCTTCCTTGAGTACTCAGATTAGCTAGCTTCAACATACACTATCTACCTCCTAACCATCCCCGTCTGCCTCCATTGTTTCTACTTTTCATTTAGGTTTGCTTAGGTCTTCTTCAAGTATCTCTTCGCCTATTTGGATTTTTGACTCTGGTGCCTCTCATCATAGGACTCCTCATTTCTCCTTACTTCAAAATTGTACTCCCCCTCCCTTTTCTATTACTGTTAATGCTGCTAATGAGTCGGGTATGTCTGTTATATTTGTTGGATCTGTCTTACCATCTGCTATGTTTGTTATTTTTATTCCATCTGTCCTTTATGTTCCTTAATTATCTGTCAGTTTATTATCTATCAGTCAGCTTAATGTCTTCGATTTTGATGTTATCTTTTCTTCTTCTATCTGTTCTGTGCAGGATCGGATGTCTAAGCAACAGATTGGGACTGGTCATAGAGTTGGAGATCTCTATGTGGTGGAGAGCCTACATCTGCCTATGATTACCTCTCCGATTGTTTTTTCTTCTTCTCAGTTAGATTTTTTGTCAAGTCCTTTCTATTTGTGGCATTCTAGATTAAGGCATTTGTCATAGTCAACTTGTCGAGTGTCGGGGGTGTAAACTTGCCAAAATGACAGCTTACCTTTTTATACAAGTACCTCTATATCTGATACACTGTTTTCTTTAGTTCATACCGATGTCTGCGTTCCTTCTCCTGTTTTCACTAAAGGGGGCATTGCATACTATGTTTCATTTGTTGATGCACCTGTTACACTTGGGTTTATCTTATGACTCATAAGTTTGATTTCTACCAACTATGTCGTACTTTTCAGTCTATGGTCACTACACAGTTTGGGTCTACTATTAAATTGTTACGGTTTGACTTGGGCGAGGAATACTTTAAAAATGAGTTCTGTGAATATTTGGCCAATTTGGGTACCATTCACCAAACTTCCTGTACTGATACACCTGGCTAAAATTGTCAAGTTGAGCGTAAATACCGTCATCTCCTTGAGACAGCTAGGTCTCTCCTCTCTATCTCTGTTTTGGCTCCATTTTGGGGTAAGGCAGTTCTTACTGCTGCTTTTCTTCTCAACCATATGCCTACCCCCTTTCTTTCTGGTCGGTCTCCTTATAAGGCTTTGTTTTCTCAATTTCCTAATTACTCCCTCCTTCGTGTGTTTGGGTCTACTTTTTTGGTCCTAGTGCCTGGTCTGTCCTATGTGTATTTTTGGGTTACCGTCTCATTCAGAAAGGTTATCACTGTTATGACCCTGTTTCCTGTCGCCTTTATGTCTTCTGCTATGTTGCCTTTCTCGAACGTTTACCTTGCTTTCAGCTTCCTCCTCTCACAACCCCAATTTTCAAAAAGGATTTAGTTCATATATATTCATTTCCTTCTGAGGTCCCTCCTGATGAGTACATCTTTGCTGTTCCCCATGAGCTTATTCCCTCTTCTCCTTGTACCACCCCTCCTCATGAGTCCATCTCCACTAACCCCCATGAGTCTGTTCCCTCCTCTCATCCTTTCCCACCTGCTCCTGCTCTTGGTCCTTCTCCTTCTCCTTCTCCTTCTCTGGTGTTAGTCTATTATCGTCACAAGGCTTTCCCTCCACCAGTTGTCTCTGCCCCTACTACTGATCCTCCTACTTCTGACAACTCTGATCTTACTAACCAAAAGTATCCCCTTCGCATCCATAAACAGGTAGTCAAACTTAGTTTTGCTAAAATATGTTTTTCTCCTTCATATTGTACATTTTTGTCTGCTATTAACTCTCTTTCAGAACCTCAGTCTTACAAGGAGGCTTGTCAGGATCTTCATTAGATTCAAGCTATGGAGGATGAGTTGTCTACTTTGTAGAAAACTAGTACTTGGGAGTTGGTTCCCTTGCCTGCTGGTAAGAATCTAATTGATTGCAAATGGGTCTACGAAGTCAAGACTTGCCAGGGATTTTTCACAGGAGTATGGTATTGATTATGAGGAGACCTTTGCCTCTATTGCCAAGATGACTATTGTCCGTACTTTGATATTTGTCATTGCTGTTCGTTATTAGCCTCTTTATCAG